CGTCTGTTGCCCTATTTTTCACACTTCGCAATTGCTCAGCAATCCATTGTGATTCATCCTTTTTGCCTAGTCGATTTCCTTCGAAGATGATTCCTTTTGCTGCTTGTTCTACTTTGTCACTATTCGAAATTTCTTTATTCTTTTCTTGCCAAAAGAATAAAAATGTTTTTCTTTTTGTCTCCCACTCCTTGATAAAGCCATGATAACCACCGTCCAGACGATCCTCATTGAATGGTTTCTTCAATGGTTCGGGAAAAAAAAATCTGTCTTCTCGTAAACATTCATTGTCATTTGTAGTAATTAGCATTCGTTTGATTTGTCTTTGTTTATTTTGATCATGCTTACTGATTTGAACCGAGCGCTTCAAGTCAATCCAGTAATTATCTAATTCAACCAAATTTGTATTCATCGTTTGCTCAAATGCGTGTTCAATAATGTCAGACTGAATATCGGAATATCTTGTCCATTGTTCGTTTTCATTGTTCAACCAGGGATTCGAACTCGATTTCCAGTACCATTGAGCTCGTGCGTGATCAGCTGCTTCCATCAATGGATTTGTGATTGATTAGACTAATATGAAGTAATTCTTATTGAAATGTGTGCTAAAGTAGAAGAATCCATTAGACTGCAAGAAAGAGCCTTGTGGAACTGATGAAACACTTGTTCACACTTATGATGATCTGTCTGCGGGCTTCCATTTAGATGACATCTTCCTAAGAGCGAGTTTGAATAGATAAGAAAGGTAGATAGCTGATTTTTGCGTCACTTATGAAACTACGAAATAAGAGTATTAAGCCGAGCAGCTAGGTCAAGTGTAAACGGTGATTTGGATAGTCCTTTAAGTTCTCTATCAAATGCAGTGTATGTTTATCTTTTGCTTTGTGCATTTTTCGAGACATGAATCTAGTCAAAACTGTCTGGAAAATCATGGAAACATAACTACCTCATCATCATTTCTGTTTCCCAAAGGAAACTCTCCCATCTTCTCAAAAATAGGGCTGAATCATATGTATTCTGAAATTAGACCCCTCCCCTCCCTTGTCGTAAAAGTATGAAGAAAAAACAATTTAACATACGCAGAGATGTTGAAAGAAAACAGAAAAAAGACCTATTCTGTCTTTTATTAACTTTTTCGACAATGACAAAGAGCGAGATTCAGCAGGTAAGAAAAAATCAGCTATATACCTTTCTTATCTACTCAAACTCGCTCTTTGTCATTGTCGAAAGAGTTAATAAAAGACAGAAGAGGTTTTCTTTTGTTTTTATTCAACATCCCTGCGTATATTAAATTGTTTTTTCTTCATATTTTTGCGACAAGAGAGGGGAGGGGTCTGATTTCATAATATGTATGATTTAGTCCTAAACTGACTCGAGTCACTTGCGAGTCAGACATGTGCAACTTGGGATTGTTATCACGGCGTTTATTACATTTGTTATGTACCAGAAGGGAGAGAGATTTGAAAATATTCTGTGTAGAACATCGCCCCACATGATCTGTATGGAACAGATACACAACAGTCTACTCACTTTTCGATTCTGATTCCGAATACGATATTTTTATTACATGGACCTTGACTTCTGGTTGAGAGAATTGAGAATTCGTCGCCTTTTGACACCAAAAATAATAAAACGGATTTTCGCAGGAAGGAAAAAATAAAAGCAAAGCTCACGTAATTTTTTCTTCATCGTTTCAGGATTCGAATGACCTAAGATTTAAGTCTATAAAATTTTAACCAACTGGAGTTGATAGGTCCACAGTCGAGAGATGTCGCATTTCTAGGTCTTCTGGAAAGATGGACGGTATATCAGTCAGGTAATATGCGAACAATTTCGAGACACCGTTTTCTGATACAATTTTACACGGTGAATATGATGAAAAAAATTTCATCATTTAAACCGAACAGTACTGGAAAAAGAACACTTTTATCTGAAAAAGACGTTTTTTCACGTTTCTTGATTTTTCAGTCTGAAATATTACTTAACAATCTGAAATATTATTATTCTTTTTTATAGATGTTAATCTAATGAACAATCCTGATTTCGGAGCAAATGAAGAATTCTAAAGACGAGAACTCAGTCACAGGTTAAAAATTACAATTATACAATATTGATGATTTCTGTTTCAAAACAGAACAAATGAAAGACAAAAGTTCAAACCAAATACATAACTTACCCTGTATTTTTTCGTTGTTTTTATTTTATTTGTTTGATTATTAAATATCAATAATATGTTTTTTTACGTGTATGTGTATCTGTATATAACAACCATAAATGACGTGTCAATCTATAAATATAAAACAGAAAAATTGTTATGACATAGTGAATCATTCATACACTCGCTTTTTATCGTATGCAGTCTGTTGTTTGTTACTTGATAATAATCTGATGAGAGATCGGTATCCATTCGGATTTTAATCGAATCGATTCGACTTGACTCGATTAAAACCCGAATCGATGCCCATCTCTGAAGCTAAGAAATATTTTCTAATAAAAGAGATTTATTTTAGTTTTATAGACAGGTGTGAGAGAAACAGAATTTGGATTGACAGATGATTATTGCCAGTGTGACCATTATGTTATCTATCATATTAAAATTTGATGTTTTTTTTCTAGAGCTGCGTCAATCGAGATTTTTCCATATTCGGAATCAGCACGACGAGTTACGTTGTACGGTGCAAAGATCTCATCGGGACTTCCTCCATTTTTTGGATCCAGTCGCTCCGTTGGAGGTTTCACGATATATTACGCTGTACAGCAGATCAGCTGTTGATGATTGATTCATTTTTCCAAGAACAGTTTCTCAATCCTCTCATGTGGGGCGATGTTCTACACAGAATATTTTCAAATCTCTCTCTCTCTTCTGGTACATAACAAATGTAATAAACGCCGTGATAACAATCCCAAGTTGCACATGTCTGACTCGCAAGTGACTCGAGTCAGTTTATCAAGTAGAGAGGTAAAAGGCATAGAGATTTTCATAAAAATTCCGAAATTCAAAATTCTGAAGAATTTCGAAACACCATGTTCTGATACAATTTTATCCGGTGAATATAAAGAAAAAAAATTTCATCATTTAAACCGAACAGTAAAAATCACTTTTATGAAAAAACAGGCGTTGTTTCACGTTTCTTTTTACTAGAAGAACGTGTTTTTTCTGGATATATTATACATATTCGAAATCAGCATGAAGTTCTACGTCAAATGCTGTATGATTTGTCCGAGAAAAAAATTTGTACTCGATCTTTGAATTACGCGCGCCTTAAATTAATTGATTTCAACAAGTACAGAATCGATAAACGTACAGAAATGATATCTGAAAGAAATAAGAAACTATTACAAACAAAAATTCTCTAAACTGAACATAAAACAATTGTACAAAAAATACATTCAAAATGAATGTTCAACAATCGGACAAATGATCGAAGATTATTTTAATAAGAAGAACACTTCTTTCTGTTATTTTGAATTTACGTGAACAGAAAGAAGATAAAAATGATGAAGAAAAACAAAATAATAATAATAATAATAATGAACACTGGATTAATTTCAATATTGTTTAATCCAACGAAAAAGTTTTCATATTTATCATAGGTTTGTTAGAATGTAATGTAGATGAAGATGAAAAGAAAAATCACTTAAAAAGATCAATAACAGAAATGATGAAAGAAAAAATTGTATTTATTGAATATAATAATCGAGAAGAATTTCGTATTTATGATAGAAATATTGAAACTGCGTTTAGTCATATGGAAACTATTCTTCAATCTTTTAAAAAATGAAAAAAAAGAGACTGACACTAACCAACTTGAAACAATTTACCTCTATTGTAAAAATCAAACATATCACCAAACATGGATCAAACAATTTTCAAAAACATGTGGCACTTTTACAAATATGACAGCAATTTGTCAAAAATTACAACAGGATAAAAAACGAATATCCACAGATTTAACTGGAACCAATTTTGCTGTACCTACCATAATCTCCGTAACGACTAACATCAACAAGCAAATGCAACAACAAAAGATGCATCATTCATGTATTCACAACTTCTACACGAAATACTTGTTGGTATGACGTATAATGAGAAAACAAAACGTGAAATGATTGCATTTTGTCGTTAAAAATATGGTGGAAATAATACTGTATTACAGGGCATACAGGAATTTGAAGAAAATTTTACAGTAAATCGAGCTGTCTGGTGGTACACAAGAGAAACCTGCCTTTTTGAAAGGATTAATCGAGCATTAAGAACTCAAGATGTTGAAACATTATATAAACTACGTTATTTTATCAAACTTCTTTATTGTCAACTAAAACTCTTGCATGAACAACAAATCACATCGTCATCGTTAAATAATATAACAATTGTTTATCATGGTCAGGCTATGATGAATGAAGAATTGGAGCAATATAAACAAAATCAAGGTGGTCTTAGGTCTTGTTCAAATTTTCTACCTACAAGTAAAGATAAGCAAGTTAAAGAAAGTTTTTTTATAAAAAAACCCTAAAACAGTTTTATTTTCTCTCATACTCTTTTTCACATTCGCTTCTTCCGCTCCGCAAGTGGAACTATCCACATAAAAGGCATATTAGTACCATCCATAGGAGCAGAAAAAGATATCGACATCGGACGATCTAGTCAGCTCACTCAGTATACTACCCGATATAGCTAGCTAGCAATTCGAATTAGGTTATTTACTATCGGGGGATATAGCTAGCTAACATGATACATTACTAGATATAGTCAGCTAGCCCAATATATTATTCGATACATCGACGGTTGGATTACTCACCGTTTTGTTTTGTAGCCACTGTACTATATATGTAAAACATATGCTTCACAAATTTACAAAGTATTTATTGATATCAAGTCAATATATTGAGCAATAATAGACCAATATATTGGGGAATATTGCTTTCTATAAATATATTACAGAAAGCAACATGTCTTGTGTACAGATATCCCAGGATGCAATGTAGACAGCATCATTCATGCTGTCAATACGTGAGTCAATATATCGGGCAATAATTGGTCAATATATATAATGTCATAGTTAGTAGCACAGTGGCATCGGATACTGTCCACAACATATCGGGTGATAATTGATCAATATTTCGACTAAATAGCTACTGATCAGTGTTTTTTCTCCACCCGATATATCGAGTACGATATCTAGTCGGTAGATATCACACCCGATATAGCTAGCTAACTCAATAAAAGTGATACGTATAGCTAGCTATCACAAGCCGATATTGCCTGATAGCACATTTTTATAGCTAGATATTCTCAAAGGCATTTTTTTGCTTGGGCTAGTTAGTACCGGTAAGGTGAGTAGCGTTCGTATTAGTGTTCTTTTACTCATTACTTTTCGCATGTAACCATAATGAATTCACACACTATATCCTAAGTATTATCAAATTCAATACCAAATAAAACTGCTCTCAACGATCAAACACCAATTAATGCAAGTGAAGAATATATTGTACTTAGTTTATCAAAAATCGTTGAATTTTATTCAAAGTTCATCGTACTATTTCGAGAAT